AATCTGAATAATATATATATTTTTTTTATTATTTAGTCAGAACCACACTACATTTCTTTAAATTCTATAACGTGATAGGCATTTTTTTTAACTGTATTAACAAAAATAGATTGTTTATTTGTTTTACCAGCATAGCAACCCCTTTGTGCAATTTAATGCTGAAATTGGATTTTTATTCAAGAATGTTTCAAAACATTTCAAGTGGATGTGAGGCTTTAAATGAACAAAAATAGAATTATCAATATTAAAAAAAAAAATTAAAGAATATATGTAGATATTGTTGGAAGTAAAATTGCAGAAGCATATTGATTTTATTTGATTTTGATTCTTGCAATAGACCAACTGTCCTCTCAAAACAGCCATGATAAGTTGGGATGCTATGCCAATATGCAAGTTGACATTTTCTGAAAAAGATGTTATAGTTCAATAATTTTTTTATAAGAATTCCTGTAACCATTCCACCACAAAAAAAAAAAAAAATCCCAGAAAAGTTCCTGAAAAGAATAGAAAGATTTTAAGAAAAATAAATTCTTATTTCTATTATGTTAATTCATATGAACTTTAGGAAATATAAATTTTCATATGTACAAATATGGGAGAAAATGACAAATTTTTATAATCTAGAAAAAAGCATTAATTGCTCCTTGTAATGAGTCTGGCCATAATTTCCCTTTAAAAATGCTACTTCAGTTAAAAGGGAAAACAATTTACCAAGACAAAATTATATAGAAAGTGCTTTAATTACTAGATCATCCATAATAAATTTGTGTACAGGTTTTTTCAACATTTTACCTTTCTTGGCAGATCTATTATTACAATGTCGGATACTTAATAATAAGAAGAATAGTAATAAAAATATAAACAAAAAGAAACTAAATTTGAAAAACTATATATACCCAAATATATGTTTAAAACAAAATACATTTAAAAGATTAAAATTTTAGTATCCCCTCTCCTTTCTTTCCTTGTGTATTTGCATCAATGTAAACATCACATGAATAATCTTTATTACTTTGATTTTCCTAATATGTAATAGTATGAAAATGTGAACTGATTCTCTCTGTAATAAAGTCAACTTACATCAATTATATTTTCAAACTATCCTTAAAGATTTGTTTATTAATCTGACTTCTTATGCAAAACTGAAATAAAAATTTTAGGCTCTCAGCCTTGATGCTTATGACAATATTTTCAGTTTATGTTTTTTTTTTTTTGCAATAACAAAGAATAACAATAAAAAATACTAGAGTAAATTATTGATGATTTTTCACATAAATGCAAATGTCTTGTATTAAAACAAAACTTGCTCCAACAATAATGCCTTCCATTTTATCATCTGGGCAGCAGACTGAACCTTCCAACCTATAAACCATAAATGGTTTGTCTTGTTGCAGGTAATTTAAAAATGGCATCTGTCATGATAGTGTGTATAAAGCAGAAGTGTAACATGTGGAAAAAAAACTGCACCAACTGATATTTGCTGAATGTTTACAGAGAACAAACAGTGGATACAAGCACAGTTAGATAGGATAGGTTGGTTTATGATAGTTAAGCATCTTAGATGTTGCAAAGTTAGTGTGAAACAAGGAATATTCTGGGCTGTCCTGAACAGCTGTCAATTGGTAAAATGAGGAGCCAATGGCAGTGATGGTGTGCAAAAATAGTGTTTTGTTGCTGACAAACTTGTTCTAGCCAATGACATTGCAGTGCTCCTTTTGTCTACTGTAGTTTCTGCAGAAATAAATATCTTGCCTTTAATCATGATACAAATTAAAGTTTTTTTCTTTATAAAGTTCAGCAAATTTTTATGAATTTCAGGGAGAAGTTGCATTTGTCAAGACCCAGTGAGGATCAAACTCATTATCAAAAACTAGGAAAACATTTTACTAACTTGCACCTAAATGGTTATGTGTCAAACTGGGAATGCCTGAACAACGAAACTGATGTCTATTAATCATTTGAGAGAACCATGTTTTACCTTCCATTGGCATGACTGATGCTAACCTCCAGATGGTGCCCAACTGACCTTAAAAATGCAGTTGACAAAATCAAAAAACAATGCGCACATGTGAAATTAAAAATATAAAATGGTGACAATTTGCCCATTCACCCTGTATATGTGTGTGTATGTATGTGTGCATGTGCATATGTGTAAACACAAATCCACTCCTCTTTTAATACCTGGATTTAATTCCAACAAATTGGTTGCTAAGTGAAAGATTATACCTCACTGCTATTTCAGACATATTACATAGGTAATGTGTTTGTGTCAACCAGCTTCAGATAGCTGTAATGTCCTGTTTTGCATCATTGATACCAATTCTAATTTATTTCTGATTTTCTGGGATGAGGAGTTATCATTTACATTCAAACTATTGTCTTCATCTTTTTTATTGTTATCACAATGTTTCGGCCATTGTGCCCTCTGTCTTTCTTCAGATGTATATCAAGCTGAGTAACCTACAGGAAATTCTGATCTGAACCCTTTATTTAATCTACAAGGGCAGATTGTTCTCATTCCACTACCCATGTCTAAGTATATGTCATCTAGTTCTTAGCAATGCTCAGTTATTGCCCACTCGTTTGATCTAAGTACAAGTATTCAGAGATTGAACTCACAATTACTATGTATTTTAATTCACAAATCAATGTTTTCATCCCATATCTATTATTTCTAAATGTTTATGTTAAAACAAAATCTTGCTCAATTAATAGAGTAACAGCACATCAGCAAACAACAGAAAAAATGTTTCCTGAGGATAAATTAAAAAAAAAGACTTAAATACTGCCTAATGGTTAAATCCACTTTAGCAAGAGGGGAAATAAGCTACTGTCATTGCTTAAAACATCCATGAAGCTGAGGAGTAGGATTCTAATTTGTTAGCCAAAGATGGTGAGTTCAATCCTAGGTAGGAGTCAGCCGAGTTAACAGCTTATACAATACGGTCACAGTAAAAGTAATATTTGAAAATCAGCTCTATATTCTGAAATATTGTTTGCAGAATGTAAATATAGTATCATTAAATTTTTATTTATTTTTCACTTGAGTTATTCATTTTATTTATTTTTCACTTGAGTCATTCATTTTATTTATTTCGGTTCATTTTGAAGTAACAAATAACTACCATAATCAAATTTTTTTACAATGTCCAATACTAACAAGTTGAATTTTTTAATAAAAAATTATAAATTTATAGCCAGTCAGAATTCCTGTGGTGGTGGTGGTGGGGGGATTGTTAAACAGGTACATCATTAAGTGAAGAATGATTGTATAGTGTTAAAAATTATACTAATATTTGAGTGTTTTAATAAATGGGTATGTAGTTGCAACTCAATTTGAACCTTTTTTCTTTTTTTTGTTTATCAAATATGTCATCTCAAATTCAGATAAAAAGATTTTTTGAATGAGCTTGAAAATAAATATAGAAACAGGTATAACTAATGACAATATAAGTATAGATGTTCACTAATCTTAATCAAGTCTGGTTAAAAAGGGGAATAAGAAGATTGTTTAGCACCAAACTTCCAAATGTAAGAGATACTTTGAAAATCTATGTTTGAAATTCTTTTTCCTCTAGTCATGAAACACAATCAGTGACACTAGCTAGAAATTATACAACCGCCACACTATAAAGTAAGCCCAATAAATATAGTTTCAAATATATAAGTGGTATAAAAAATGGTATTTCTTGTGCCAGCAAAAACATTAAAGCTCTTTTTTGACAATCTTAGTGCTTTTTTCAAAGAATATGGGCAAATTCATTGCAAACAGTGAAAAGATTTTTTGTGTGCATTTCTGGTTTGTACTGGATAATTGCAGAAAAAAATAGTAGGTGCGTGGATATGTTTTCAAGAATTTGATAGGAATAGAAAATATTTATAAATGGTGGTGGTGGGGGGGGGGTTAGTGGAGAAGTTTCTCTGAAAAAGGAAGGATGTTCTTTCTGAATCCACTCACTTTGAGGTTTCGTCACATTCACTGATCCTTTTGAAATGAGGGGGAAAAAAAAAGATAGATTAGAAAAATTATTCAAAGAAAAAAAAGAAAATTTGCATACAAACAATGAAAAGAAAATTTAAAGTATTCAAGTAATGATTTAATAAAAATTATAACAAAAAAAATATAGCAAACCTTAAGGTTGTTCCAACTTGCAATAAAAAAAAAGTATTATGCAGGATCATACAAGAAAGGGAAACTAAACCTTTTTTCCTATTGTAAATAAAACATGTTTTTTAATCTTAAAGAATAACAATGTTATTAAAAACAAGTAAAATGATTATTTACACTAATTTCATTGTTCAGACTATTGTCCTCATCCTTATTGCCATATTCACAACATTTCGGCCATTGTATGCTATGGTCTTCTTCAGGTGATATTAGTTGGAATTTCGAACCAATTAGAAATTCCAACTAATATTACCTGTTCGGTTCAAAATTCCAACTAATTTCGCCTGAAGAATGCTGAAGTGTACAATAGCTGAAATGTTGTGAATATGGCAATAAACATGAGGATCACAGTCTGAACAATATAAATAGTTTAAGTACTTACAATACTTCATCTAAGAAATACAGTAAAATTATACAAATATATTGATGCAATAAAAAAAAATTTTTTCCCCTTGTACATATATTCAGTAGTAGTTTTACAATTGCTACAATTGATTTGTTTTTTATGGGATATCAACCCTTTGTTAAATAACAGACAAAAACATTTTAGATTGTATGAGTGATTCTTTCCTTTTTGTTGAGCAAATATTGCATTGACAATTTTTTTACGAACAATAATTTTTCCAGATACAAGTTGTACTATTTAACACATAGCTGGGGGAGAGATGGATTCATACCTTTCCTAGAGGTATATAAGTGAATCTAATGAAACTGACTGGAATTTGAACTTGCTCTCCCATTTCTCATTGCTAAGCTGCATTTCAATTAGAATAAAATTATTTAGTACAAGCAGAAATATGCATTCTAGCATGTTTTGAAATCACCAACTGACCGGTTTGGGCTAAGAGAAAGAAATATACTGATAAAACTATACTGTACATAGTTGTGGATAACTTGGTTTGTTTAAGATAAACAAAAAGCAACAAAGTTGTAATCTACAGGGTGTACCTAATGTCTGGGCACATGGGCAAAAATACATATTTTCAAGAAATGAAATTTTCAACAACATTTTATTGAATTGAAATATAAACAAATAACATCTTCAATAGGATTTCTATCATTTATGATGCAAAGGTTGATGCATTTTGCAAGATTCCTGTGAACTCGATGCAATAACACCACATTGCTGTCAATTTTAGCACATTCACTCTTTATGCATTCAATCAAATGTGTTGCATCTGTGATTTTCATTGAGTACACCTTCTCCTTTAGCATACCCCAGAAAAAGAAGTCAGTTCTTTCTTCTTTTGACAAAACCATATTTAACCTATGGAGGTAAAAAAAAAAAATATAGTTAATGAGATTTTTCATGTGTCCAGAATTTAGGGATACCCTGTGTATCATAAATAACAGTTTTGTCTTTATTATGTCATGTTTTATAATTCGAATCAATATTTTTACAATAACACTAATATCAACTAAATGATACTGATAACATTTCCAGGATATTGTTATATGGTAACTGTAACAGTAATATTAGTTGTTTCCTTACATAGAAACATTTGGCATTAATTTACCAAATGTCCACTGCTATTTTCTGTTGAAGTTCATTAAATCTTTCTATTAAAACAATTTTTAAGATAAATAGGTTTTTCAAGCTTACTGTTATCACTCTTTGCAATATTGATGGTGCTTTCCTTGCTAATCTTTTGTTCAAAACAGTGTGAAAGATCAAATAATGACATAATAGAGATGGCATTATTTTCTCTTTGTGTTGCACATTTTATCAGTTTTTGTTGTTAAAAGTTCTCTGTTTATGTTATTTGGTGTAGTTCTTTGTTTGTAATTCGGTGGAACCAGTTCATAAGGTTTTGAGCACATATAGTCCTGACTAAGACTTACTGGGTTCAGTTACTCAAAGCCATTTCAATCATTGATCGGAGAATGATTTGTGAAATTCATCTATCTTTATTAACCAAACAAAAACTTGCTATTTTCGGGTTATATTATATAAACAGACAAATTTTATAAATCATAAATTTACATATATGACTTGATATTGCATAACAGTTCAGCACGATGTTTCCAACAAAATGGTTTTCTTAGTATTTTGCTAAGTTATTGTATATATGTTTATGCAAGTTTCCTTAACCATTAGCACATTGTAAGTGACTATTTTCTCCTAGAAAAAAAATGTTAGTCCTGCCAATTTTGAATTTGAATTTCTTGTTTGTGTAGCCATATCCTCCTATGGCAACACCTAAAATAATCTTGACTGAAATTGAGAACAAGACTACTGCAATTTCAAATATATAGAAGTAATATATTGTTGAGATGTTGAGTGTTTCCCCATGCGTGTATTGAAATAAGGACAAACACATACATAGGGAAAAATATTGGTATATCTGAAGAGGTATTTACAACAGAGAGATTAGTAGTCAAACGAACGCAGGTTAGTCAGTAACAATCAGAAAGTGTATAAAGTCCAACTGTATCTTCCGGTAGAGAGACGGAAGTGTGATGGTCACCTGATCTTCCCAGAACTCTATAGAACTGTCCTATTAGTAGTAGAGAGATCAGTCCATTCTGATTAGAAGGTGAGTGGCCCCAACATATATAAAAGACTATATACAGAAAGTAATAATTATTTGCAGTGTGATAAATGTTAAAAACCAGTGAAAGCTCCCTGTTGATTATTATTTTTTGTTTTTTATCCTTTCAATAATTTTTCTGATTACCAGTTGGTAATTGAAGTACAAAAACTAGCAATGACAACATGATACCTATATTGTGGTCCTTTACCATGCAACACTATTCAATGTTTCATATGTGAGGCAATCATCAGGCATAAACTTTATTTTTATGGTGGATTATTGCCTCGTGCCCTAAAATGGGGCAAGAAACAAAAGATACATTTTTAAGATGGCACTGTTTTCTGTCCTCACTTTCCACAATATTTATATATATATATATATATATATATATATATATATATATATATATATATATATATATATATTTCTGTAGTTCACTGCCAGCAAGCAGAAATATTTCTCCTCCCGATGATGGCCATTTCAGTGAAACTAGTCGAGGAATCTAAATGGAATAATAATAATAAAAACAAAAGAATATTAATCTACAACCCAGTGTGTCTAATGATTTTAATTTTTTAATTTTTATTTTCTTATTGTAAAAAAATATAATATATATATATATATATATATATACATACATACATACATACACACACACACACACACAAAAAAGGTGTGATGGTTAAAGTGTCCCCATTTTATATTTTTTAATTTCATGCATGCACTTTGTTTTTGATTTTGTCGACTGCACAGTATAGTAGGATCAGCTGGGCACAGTCTGTGAGAAAAAGAGTCCCATGATGCAATTCTCTCTTCTCAGAAATTTGGAAACATTATGCTGTACTGCTTGGCATTCACACTGGAATCTCCAATATTAACATTTCAGAGTGTTTGGATGCCAATCTGAGGACTCTTCAGAGAATTCGGAAAGAGTTGGATGAGTCTAATGGGGATTATGATGGTGTTTGGAGTGATCACTAGTGATGGCAACATTATGCCTCCATTCATCTTCCCACAGGGCCTCATATTCAACATGCAGGCCTACATCAAGTAACTTGAGGACATAGTACTTCCCTGGGTCAAGAGAGTGGCTACTGGAAGACCCTATGTCTGACAACAGGGATCTGCACCATGTGACACAAGCAGGAGAACTTGGCTGTCAGATAATTTTTGCCTCCATATCACCCCTTAAATCTGGCCATGTAAACCCCCGCCCCAGACTGTAATCTTTTTGATTATTATGTGTGGGGTGCACTTGTGGAAGAGACCAACAAAACTCGTGTAACACCAAAGATGAGCTAAAAGCAAGGACTATGGCAGCATTCACCAACTAAGAAGGAGATCATCCAGAAGAGTTACAGGAGGTTCTTTGTCTGAAGGTCATGGTTGAAGTCGATGATGATTTTATTGAATAAATTTACTCTTTAGTATTGAATTAGAACCCAACTTTTTTGTATTTTAAACAGTATGTGTAAGAGCTATCATTATCACCTATTGGCTTGCTGTGCATCTGAGAAAACATTTTCTTTATTAGTTTTTGTTGAGTACTCAATTCAATAGAAGTTATACATACAGTTTAAAAAAAAAAAAAAAAAAATATTTAACTGCTGATACTGGAAATAAAGTTTCATATTTTGTACTTTAAGAGGTGTGTCTATTTCAAAATCAGATATCCATTAGAAATAACACTGAAAAAAAAAAAAAAAAAAAATTAAAAATGTCAGATCAAAAAAATAAATCCATTCTCTCTCTCTCATATATATATATATATATATATATATATATATATATATATATACAGTAGCGTCCAAAACTAAGGGACAAAATTTTAAAACCTAATATTTGTTAGAAATAACAACTGTGAAAAGCTGAAATTTTGACAACTGGTAGTCATTATCATCCATAATAACATACTAAAATTTGAATCATTTGCAAAGGATAGAAAAAGAATTCTAACAATTATTTATTTATTTTCAAATTTGGAACATCCAAAAGTAAGGGACAAAATTGAAAAACAATGTAAACGGCAAAAAACAATAAAAATACATGTACAATCAATATTTAGTAAATGAGCCCTTGCTCTCAATGACAGCTGCACATCTTCAACTACAAGAACGAATCAGTTCTTGACAATCCCTCGATACTAATTTTAGACCATTCTTCTTGAAGCTTCACCCACAAATCCTCTGTGTTGGTGGGATTTCTTTCCATAATTTTCACTCGTAAGGTCTTCCAAAGATTTTCTATTGGATTTAAGTCAGGACTTTTGTGGTGGCCAATCCATAATTTCAAATCTTGCTCGCTAAGGTAACTCATTACCACCTTTGCCTTGTGACATGGGGCATTATCTTGCATAAAGGTAGCCCTATCGAAACCTGAATTCTGTATGATTGGCACAACATGATCTTGAACAATGTTTTTATAGATCTGTGCATTTACAGTTTGTAACTGGACAAGAGGCGTTGTACCTTGGCTAGAAAACATTCCAAATACCATGGCCTTCCGCCCCAAACTTGACAGTTTTCTTAGTACACTTTGCATAATCTTTCACCAATACGTCTCTTTACATTGTTTTTTCCATCATTTCCAAATAAATTAAACTTGCTTTCATCACTGAAAAATACTTTTGCCCAATTTTCATATGTCCAAATTACATACCTGTTTTGCAAACTCTAATCTCTTCTTATTCTTCGAACTAACAAGTGGTTTTCTTCCCTGGGGTTCGATTAAACAGCCCTATTTCTTGCAGTCGTCTACAAACAGTCTGTCTTGACACATTAACACATGAGGTACTATTCATAACCCTTTTAATTTCTGTGCAAGACTTAAAACGGTCCTTTAATTACATACGCTGCATTATTCGATCTTCTCTTGCCAAAGTTTTGTGGGGTCTGCCGGTTTTAAAAGCACTATTTTGCCAGTATCATTGTAGGATTTAACAACCCTGCCTACAACACTCTTGGAACGTTTCGCTTTCTCTGAAATCTCTCTAATTGTGTGCTTTTCCTTGTGTAGCTTCACAATAGCTTGTCTCACAGAGTAATCAAGTCTTTGGCGTTTTAGCCATGGTAAACTGATGCAACATTTACAAATGACTAAGTAAGACTTATTCTTTAGAGGAAAAAAAAAATTTGAATATAGCATACAGTTTACATTGTTTTTTTCAATTTGTCCTTACTTTTTGGACGATCCTATTTTGAAAATAAATAAATAATTGTTATAATTCTATTTCTATCCTTTTGCAAATGATTCAAATTTTAGTATGTTATTATGGATGATAACGACTACCAGTTGTCAAAATTTCAGCTTTTCACAGTTGTTATTTCTAACAAATATTAGATTTTAAA